AAAGCATACTGGTGTACCTTCCAACAAAGACGATATCGCCTTCTCCACCTGCAGCTTCAGTAGATGAGCACGTGGGCGTATCAAGGAGTCTAAAAATGCGATCCCTTTGATGTTTTCCTCGAAACCAGCCGTAACGGATAGAAAATTACCTTGGTTCTAACTGAGCTGATGAGGTCGAAGGTGTGGAATTTGTGATCGGTGCAAGTGTAGATCTCTTCAGTACGGGTATCTCCTTCAATAGATCTTCCAGAACGGATCTGTCGGCTGCAGTGCCTTTTCTAGTAGTCGGCTTTCCGGCTGCGATCGTTCTCCTGCGTCTAGCTGTGGTTTCCTCAACATCGACAGTGGCCACTTGGGCAGTTACTGGCTCGACAGTCTTTCTACGCTTAGATTTTCTTGGTTGCACATCCTCCTGCACTTCTGTTATCTCTAAAGGTCTTGGAGGCTCCACGCTTATCACGAGATCATTCAAATCCTCCACAAATGCTGCTGTTTTTCGCTTTCCTCTAGCGCGAGAAGCTGCAGCTTTAACAACATCTTTTTTGATAGAAGAAGTCTCAGTGCGCTCCGCGATTGCTTTCGATCTTCTTCGTTTTGGGGTTTCTGCTAACTCAGGTTCTGGTGAATATATCTTTCGCTTTCTCTCATTACGTATGGCAGTATCTATGGAAGTGCGAGCAGTTTTACGACTTCTACGACCTTTCCTAATTGTCAAATTCTCTTCTTCCGGTCTGTCACTTCTACCATCCGTTTGAACTTCATCATAGATTATGAACTCTTCTTCAACAGCTTCTGGTTCTAATGACATCACCTCATCGAACTCTAGAGGGATTATTTCAGGTATTCTTCCCTTTCGCTGTTCTTTCTGCAGCTCATGGGTGCTCTGAGATTCCTTGTGAATTGGTTCAAAATTCTTCCGCAAAGGTGACGCAGCAGATACTGCAACCTCAGCAAGTAGATCTAACCCAGTGTCGGTGAACAGTTCTAACCTTCTTGGATCTTGTAATAGAGGTGCACAGCACGCAAATGAAGCCTTTTCGGCGATTTTGGGAGGGAGTTGGCTCTCAACAGCAAGTCCCTTGGCAGGGGCCATAAGCGCAACCGCAACTCTAACAAACACAGTCTTTTGCGCCTCTATCACAGGACTTTTTCGTTTCTTCGTCGTTTTTGGTGTCTTCGATGTTGACAACCCTACCGTTGATGATGTTCCGGGCAAAGACGTTGCGGTGGGAGCTACTTCCAGCTTATTCTGTAGCTTTACCTCCTTAACCTTAGCAAGCCGAACCTGTGAGGTTTCTTTGGCAAAAGTATGCGTGGTATCCAAGCTGGTAGATGGTTGCTCTAGGGTCACACTACCATCCTTGTGAAGAACCGACTTCTTTCTTCTTTCCACTTTGGGGACAGACGCCGCAGGCTTCTTATCTATTCCTGACACTCGCTTCTCAGATTTGATCACATGCTCAATTTTTCTGACACTTTTCTGTGCGGTTTCCGAAACAACTTCCGCATTTTGC